GCAGAAATCATAGAAAACAATCATGACCTGAATTCATGCGGCTTTATAAAAGCATGTTATCAATAACATGCAAAAGTACATGAAAAGCCATCATGCATGTACCTGCTAATTAAGACAAAAATATCGCTTAATTCTAAAATAAGCATGACTTTAAAAACACTTTAATTAAGCTAGATCTTGCTAATTTAACGCATGTGACATTAATTAAAAAGGAATTACTGTCTAAATAGCCACGAATTCTTTTAATTAACACGAAGCATTGTTGAAAAACATAAATCATGTCAATTAAGCAGTAATTTTAACTGTGATTGCTTTAAATAGAGCTGGTTTTCTTAAATAAAGTGTTTTGGAGTCTCTGGGGATGCTGCAAGCCGGCTGGAATAGGCATGATTGCATAGTCGCAGCTACTGCCGTGTCGAGCGTCTGAGCAGCTTTAAGGGTAGGCGCCATGACAGACGAGCGCGAGCTCTGGCGGTGCAACTTGTGCTGAGCCATGGGCACCAACTGCTCGGATGCGGACTCTTCGAGGGCGGTGCAAGAGCATGCTTCAAGCGCATGATGCTTCTAGTGCACCCGAATGAGTGCCAGGACGCGCGAGCCACAGAAGTCTTCTGGGTGCTGAAAGAGATGGAGGCGCAGGCGACTACCATCTCGACGGAGACCGTTCGTAAGGACCCCCAATCAGACAAACTGCTTGTAAGCGGATCGAAGATCAAGAGTGGTGAGAAGCGCGACGTGACCCGCCTTCCTCCATCCAGGATGCACCTCTCAACAGACTCGGCTCGAGAGTGGCAGACTGAAATCCGGAGGCCCATTCATAGCACGCACCCAAATGCGACAAATCAACTTATTACGAGCACAAAAATTGAGTTTGTCCATGGACCAAATTCACCTTGTTTTCAGTGAAAGCATCAACCGGTCACCTTCCTGCCAGCAACTCCAAAGCGGTGCGTGGAAAGCCACGAAGACCCGTACCTGTTGTCCAACTTCGATGCATCGACCCGTCCTTTCAGAAAGCCATCGACTACTCGTCAAAAAGTCTTTGTCCAGACTATGGCCCTTTCATAAACTTTCAAACTTAACATTTGGGCATAAAAATTCATGACCTGCAAAACTCTCAAGCGAGAACAACTGCATTGTCGCAACATGCCAACAAAGCGACACTTACAAGTGACATCAACCAAGAGTTTGACCACAGCCCTAGAAGGATCATCCGACCGATACATTGCTAGGGCTGGCAACGCAAGTAAACCATGCCCACGATGCACACAGTCTCTCTGAGGCTTCAAAGGCAAGCAGAATTTTCCCTTACATGGATGTTCGCCAAGACGAACACAAATGCCCGTCTTGAGCCAAAAAGATTTTATCGATTTGTCGATGGCAAACGTCCTTTGCTCCAGTCGGAACTTCTCGTCTTGACTTCGTCAGTTTGAAACAAAATTTGGGGTCTTCGGCTATGGGTACGCTTAGAAAGTTGGCTTTTAATCCGATGGCAAGCAATGGTGTTGAGAACTGCAGTCGCTGCAAAACTGTGCAGAAGTCCTGTGACGATGTCGTTCTTCTGCAAAACTGTGCAGAAGTCCAGAGTAACGATGTCGTTCGTCGGAACTTCAGAAACTGCTTGATTGAAAGAGTTGCCAGGTTGTTTGGATTGAACGTCTTCAAGAAGATCTGGAAGGGGTTCGAATTCGTAGGTCGGCCATTAGGACCACATAGAAGTGTTTGTGTACAAGGCCATAGGTCTTATTTCAAGTCTGACAGCGCCATCTACAACCGCAAGCTTGTGCGAGCATTTGCTTGCTTAAATTTGGTTGAAACTCTTTGGTGACTTGTTCTTGAAGCCGCTGCATTCTTGACTTTGTTGCGCGGCAGCACCGGCTTTCAGCTGAGAAAGATTTTTGAACCCCAAAGCGACAAGCATGTAAAATGCAGGCAAGCTCGATGGCTCTCAGGACCAGAGCTGAGGCACGGTGTGCAATGCAACGCAAGCTCGACGGCTCTCAAGACAGAGCACACAGAGAGCGGGTGCTTCAGCTTTTCTGCCATGCCCATCCGGGCTTGCTTCAGGTCTTGTGATTCCACCTGTCGCCCCGAGCGAGAAAACATTCATCCGAGAGCCGTGCATCATGTCGCTGGTGAGTGTCGCTTCATGTTGGCATGTTGGCGTGACGAAACAAATCCTAGTGCTGTGCATCATGTCACTTGTGAGTGTCGCTTCATGTTGGCATGTTGCTGCATGCGTTGTCCTCGCTTGGAGAGTTTTGCATGTCACGAATTTATGTAACACTTGGGCAGTTTGATTCGTTTTTGAATCCAACACATTCAGGAGCCGAGAGAGCGTCTCTAATTGATCAGGTGCCGTGGCTTGTTGAGGTGTGTGCCGGCTCGGCTGTGTTGTCTGTAACGGCTTTGAGCGCTGGGTTGAATGCACTGCCCAGCCATCAGCCTTCCTGTCGCTTTCATGCCCATACGCCTTAATTCATCTTCGACATGCGCCAATCTTCTAGTTCCGTGCTGCTGGCCTCCTTCGCCGTGCTGATGTTGCATGGTACCATTTCGGTCTTCCCTGTGGCACTTGTTCAAGGGCCCGGGAGAGGCCAGCCTCCGGCCTGCTGAGCAGGAGCAAGTCAACGCTGCTAACCAGGTGTATGTGCAGGCTGTCGAGGTTCTCTTTCTTGCATTCAGCCGTGGCGCTCTTGTCACGATTGAAAACCCAGTGCGGAGCTGGTTGTGGCGGCTGCTGGCCTCTCTTGTCAAACAACGTGAACCGGCTTCATTTCGCAAGTGGTACTTCGACTTGCAGGATTTTGATTTTGACAGCTACATGTTTGGGTCAGGTCGCGCCAAGGCCACACGCATTAAGGGTACGCCCCAGGCTTTTCAAGGTCTTGCGCGTGCCTGTGACGGCAAACACCAGCACTTGAGTTGGGCCCCTCTTCGGCTAGATCAGGGATGGCAGTTCAAAACAAAGGACGAGGCAGCATACCCTCAGCAGCTCTGTGACTTTCTGGTAGCAGCTGCCGGTGCCCGTCCGAATGCCAAGGCTGAACGGTGGCGTGCCCGTGAGCTTCGCGCGCAGGTGCGTGCCCCTGCCGGGCATCAGTCTCGTTATGCCGCTGCTCTTATCCCAGAGTTCGAGTACCAGGCACCCCTCTCCCAGATGCCGCCTCATCGTGACTACAAAGTGCTTAAGCTCTCTACCTTCGGGGGTTCTTTTGCGGAGAGCTCTGACCCTGTGGGGGAAACCGTTGGATGTCCTACGGCGCTTTGTGATCAGGCCAGTTCTTCTGACTCCGGCAAGCGTGGTGATCAGGATAGTTCTTCGAGCTCTGGCATGTGCGGTGATCAGGGTAGTTCCGAAACCAGGGAGTCAACAACCGAGAGATCCCCGAACCCAGTCTCCTCAAGGAGCTCACGGAAAAGACAAATGGCCTTACCTCTAGTGACCTCCTCAACGTCCTGGGCCTCGAGCTCCTTGAGACGGGAGTTCAGTTACTTTTCAGTTGGTTCAATGCTTGCAGGCGCAGCTTTGACACTGCGAGCGGCCCATCAGTGCAGAGCTTGAAGATGTTTCGGCGCACGGCATCGGGAACCTGGTGTGCCCACTCTGAAGGAGACTCCAAACCAGCAGCCAGCTGAACATGCTGCTCCATGGTATGATAGACACCCACGATGTCCGAAGAACCCCCAGCATGCCGCTTTGTAGCCTGATCACCACACATGCCGGAGCGAGAAGAACTACCCTGATCACCATGCATGCCGGAGCTTGAAGAGGATGGCAAAGTTCGCGTCATCGATGACTTCAGTGCTTCATCTGTCAACCAGAGCTTTGAGTCCCACTCGCATTTGGTGCAGCAGGACACTGTGACTTCACTGTGGGACTCTTGCGCTTCTTGTCACGTGTTTTGCTAAACAAGACAGAGGTGGTAGTGCCTCTGTCTGATGGGCAGGTGCTGCGTGGGGCTTGGTCTCCTGAGATGCTGCATTCACCTCCCTTGCTTGCTAAAACCATCGACTTGAAGAAAGCTTACAAACAGGTCGCAGTCAAGCCTTCCTCGTGGAGGCATGCAGTTCTTGGCTACCCGGACAAGAAAGATGGTTGGACATTCGCAGTCTCCCGAAGTCTTCCTTTTGGTGCAACGGCCAGTGTCTATGCCTTCAACAAGTTGGCCCTGGCGCTGCTACACATCATGGTGGTCAAGTTCCACGCCATGGCCACGGACTTTTATGATGATTACACCGTCTTCGAGTTCAAGCCAGCTGCCTCTCTGTTGGATAAGGTGCTTTGCAGACTGCTCAAGCTTCTTGGTTGTGGGTCTTCGCCGAGGATGGCAAGAAGTTCGTTCCTTTTGCGTCGCAGGTCGTGACATTGGGCGTTGTTCTGAATCTTGAAGACATCTGGAAGGGCCGAATCACCGTTGCCAACAAGCCGGGGCGCGTCAACAAGATTTGTTCGATGCTAGCCCCCTTAGCGGAGGGCAAGCCGGCCACGAGGTCCCAGCTGGCTAGTCTTCATGGGTTGCTGAACTTTGCAGGCGGCCACGTGTTGGGATTCCAGCTCAAGCCTGCTGTCAGGATGTTCTCGAAGGCCCTTGCCCGGGGCCGTACCTTTGGAGATGAACTTCGAGCTGCCGCACTGCTTGCGCTGGATGTCTTGAAAGCGGCTAGGCCGAGGACTTTGGTGGCCCGCGTGACGCCGCCAATGATCCTTTACACCGATGGTGCATATGAGAGTGGAGTGGCGACTTGGGGAGCGATACTCCTGGACCCGCTCTGCGGAGCTCGCTGGATGTTTCATGGTACGGTGGGCAGTGCTTTGTGCAACTATTGGCGAGTGCATGCTGGGGAGCCGATAATCTGTGAAGTGGAAGCCTTCGCGGTTGCGCTTGTTCTTTACGGCTTGAGGGGAGTGCTGCGAGGTCGTTGCATCACTTCCTACATCGATATCGATGCTGCTCGATATGGCTTCATTCGGCGCACGTCTCCATCGCTGTGCATGTCAAACATCATCTGCCTGGTGACTTTGCTTGAGGCCATTCTTGAGACTTCGTTGTGGTACGAAAGAGTACCCTCGAAGTCCAACCCGTCGGACTTGCCATCGCGAGGTGCTCTTGAGGAGGCTGTGAAGCGCTTCGGTGTCCTAGATAAGGGCGATGTGGCTGTATCCGAACATGTTCTATCGATGCTTGTCTCAAAGACTTACGATCCCCGCTTGGCTGATGCCGTTGCCAAGGCGGTGAGATGTGAAGCAGATTTGATGGCAGAGCTTTGCCAATGATGTGATGGAAGCGGCTCACTTTTGCGGGGGACGATACGGTTCGCCGGTTGCGTGTGCCGGTTGTCGTTGTCGTACCTCTCACCTCGGGTGCGTTTACCCCCGACTGAAAAAAAGAGAGAGGGTTGTCCGAGTGAGTGCGCGCTGTCTTGCCATTTCATATCCTTGAAATATTTCGCTTCCTGCCAATAGGCATTTTTGTATAATATGTTTTGAACAAATATTGGAATGCAAACTGCCTGACAAACGGCGCAAGCTCCTCCGCCGCCCCCAACATCGCCTTTGGCGCATGTTACACATCTCCGCGGCATTCTGCCCTCTGCGTTGGATTGCATGACGCTGCTGTCCTTACCAATGTCCCTGAAAACGGGATCGCTTCGCGTCAACGTTGACCAGTTCGGCTCCGATATTGGGGACTTTGCAGACAGATCAATGAGACGACGGTGCTGCGCTGAGCAGGAAGCTTGCCGATTTGCGTTAGCCCGCTGATCGCTATTTCGGCTGCGCTGGCCGAGCTTTGCGAGCCTTTGCAACAGCTCCCTGAGGACAAGGCCTTCGACCTGTCCTGGCCAGAGCTCGCACGACCACAAGTTTGGTGGTGGCTGCTTGTAGACGAGATCGTTGCTCAATTGCAGCATGCGGCATGCCTCTCCTTTGCAGTATTGCGGAGCCCTGATGCCCATGCAGGTGCTGATATATATGTGCTCCGGCGCCTTGTGGATAACCCGTCGGCTTATCCGCATCTGCAAATTCTTGAAGTCTTCAAGGACACAGACTGCAGAGC